GGGCTTCTGCTGGCGCTGCTGCTGGCGCTGGGCGAGCTGCCGCAGGTGGGGGCCGTCGAGGAGGAGCCTGGCAAGGAGCACGAAGAAAGTCAGGGCTTCCAGGTGGTCACATTAAAATGGCACCACGTCCAGGAACCGTATATCATCGCGCTCTGGATCCTCGTGGCCAGCGTGGCCAAGATTGGTAAGCGACCCGGGACTCGAAGGGCCTCCGGGTTCTGGCCCCGCCGCGACTTTCCCTCCACCGACCCCGCCTGCGTTCCAGCAGGCAGAATTAGGCGCCCACCTTCCTCTGGGTATGTGCCGGCTCCGCGGTCTTCCCTGTGGAAGGGGCGCGTTCAGTGTCAGTTGCCCCGCGGTCCCGTCCGAGAGCACCGCGCGCAGCCCCGGAGAGCCAGCCCTGGAATCAGGCAGGGGCCGCGAGCCTGGCCGGGCCCGGAGCGGCCGTGCCGGTCCCCGAGAGTCACCCGATCTTGCCGGGCGGGTGCCGGTGGGGAAGCCCGCTCACTCCGGATACCTGGTCCTGTGTTTGGGCTCCAGTCTGCCCATCCAGGCCTGCGGTACAGCGCGTTTCCACGCTCTGGCGCTCCTGCGCCGGGTTTTCTGTCTGTCGGGCTTGCGGGGGGATTTTTAATGCCCTGAAAAAGGAATACCCTTGTTGTCAAGCACCGAAGTGATACTTTGTCCCCAGAGCAGAAGGGAAACGGTGCCGCTCATAATTAAGCCCAGTAAAATCCTACCTATAGGAGCGAGTTTCCCATTGAGAGCGTTTCTCTTTTTAAAACCCCTTCCTGTCAGATTTCTCTTCTCCTAACTTGCTCCAATGAGCCAGCAAAGTGGGATTGCCATAACTCGGCAGCAAGGTGATGGGAAGGTCATCTTTCCTAAGGGCTTCGGAGGACTGAAGTTTCTAAGTGCAGGTCAACACCAGAGAGGGTCTTACTTGAGGTGTTGGAGGTGTAATGCATTTGTAACTTACTAGGGGGAGCCTGAGGGAGGGCCCACTGAGCGCAAGGTCTGAAGACACCCCCCATCCTTGCCCCCCAAGGAACTGTAGGTGGCAGGAACAGATCACCAATGGTTTTGAAATGGGGAAGGGCAAGGCAAGAAGAAGAGGAGCCCTCTGGGGCCTTGGAAGGCAACTGACATGCTCAGCATGCTGGGAAAGAGGTTTGGGGCAAGACCTTAGAGGGCTTTGGACCTGGGGTTCGGGGTACCTGGCAGAGGCTGGCTGCAGCTTGTTTTTCCTTCACTTCCTGCTTATGCCAATGGCCTCCCTTGAAGTCCCTCTCTTTTCTGCTTTGTCTTTCTTAGGAGCTCCCTCTGCCTTCTCCCTCCTTTTTCCTGGCATCTGTGTAGCCCCTTGGCCCCACCTGCCTGGTCACCTTGCTTACTTTGTCCCCCACTGGAAAGCCCTGTGGTCTCATAAGCTGTGTCTCTGCCAGACGCCTCTGCCAGGGGCAGACCACTAACACTAGCCAATGTCCAATGTGACATTTACTGGGCAAGTCCAACCTCAACGTCTGGGCGTACCCTGCCCTGACGCTCACACTGCTCATCTAAGAACTGACCTATTTCTGGGGCACAGTTGGGGGGGGGGTGGCGTCTCTCCCTCTGCCACCCTCTTTACTCTATGAAACCACCATAAGGATGATGACATGTGCAGGGTGGGCCCAAGACACTCTGGGCGGTGCAGCTCCTCTGTTGTGTAATCAAGCATGCATTTTCTGTCTAGTCTTGGTGTCGGCACAGGTGTGGAGCCTGGCATATGAGAGTCCGGTGCCAGCCATCAGGGCACCAGCTGTTCAGCCTTGAGTGGGTGTGGGGACCCTGGGAAGGCGGCACTGACCCAAGTATTTGCCTGGCCCAGATTTTGTTACTCACCCAGGAAGAGCCATGGCCTGCAGGTCTCTGAGCACTCGAACTGTCCAAAGAGGGCCTTCTCCGGGTGGGGGCCACCCACTCCAGCAGCTCCAGCGCCGTCTCATGGGCAGGGCAGAATGTGTTTCCCTCCTGGCGCTCACCATTTAAAAAGTCTCACTTCAACAGCACCACGCCCTGCATGTTGTAATCCTGGGAAGCTGGAGGTAGGGGCTCTCAGGACGACATAAAGAGGATCCCGGGGAGAAGACCCCTGGAGTGCCCTCTGACCCTGGGTCAGGCCTTGCCCTGCCCCTGCCTGCATAGTTCTTCTGAATTTGGAGGCTCCCACTATGATGGCATTGGGGCCTGGCCTGTGACTAGGCAGCACTACACACACTCAGTTTCCCCATCTTTACAAGGAAGCTGGGACTGTACCCATGCCCAGCCCTCTCCCAGCCTTGCTCCCGCCCTGTCCTTCCTTGTGGCCTCTCCCCATTAATCCTATCCCTGGAATCCCCTGCACTGACCCTGCCCAGTTCCTCAAGGCCATCTTTGTGACCCCACCTCTCTTCCCTGCCCTCTGAAGTCTCCCACCCCTTACTGCCTTGTCCTGCCCCCATCTTCTGAGGCTGCTCCTTCTTCATCAACCTTGGGCCCCTGCCCCTGGGTCTGGACCTAAGCTCTCCCCCTCCACCCTGTCCACTCTCCCTTCACTGTCCCACGCCCAGCACCTCCAGGTACTGTCTTCCAGGGGCCCCCATCTCCAGCCCAGGTTACCTGAAAGTGCGGCTGGTCATCAGGCATCTCTGCACAGACATCTCCCCACACCTCAGATGAACCCCCACTCTCCCCACTTCTCAGCTCCCCAGGCTCAAAACCAAGGCTTAGCAAACAATCTGGACCCACCGCTCACACTTAGCCACGCAAACCAGGAGTCACCTCGAGCCAGTCACCTCAGCTCAGTGGTCCCAGCTCACTCCAGACCAGACCCAGCTGCGCTCCACGCCCTCCAAGGCTCGGGTCTCACCCCCCACAATCCACTGTGCTCTCTGCAGTGAAAATCAGAGCTCTGACCTAGTTTCTGCTGGACTAAGCCAGGGACTTCCCACTGGCCAGCCCACCTCCCTGCTCAGCCCTCTGCATTCAGGTGCCCACCCTTCCCCCCACCACCCACCCCTAAGAACTCTGGACTTACAGTTGAGGTTCTGACTCAGGGACTAGACCCCCTCAGACGTCTCCCTCCCTGCGAAGCCAACCCTAATGCCTATTGCTCACACCTCTAAAGACTAATCACGCCCACACCTTCCCCTAACTGGGCCCGGAGGCCTCGTGGCCGTGGGTCCAACCCGTGCACAGATGAGGGACGTGCTTGGATCACAGTGCACTTCCTCCTGCCCCACAGTCCAGGGTTCACACTTGTTAAGCTACTTGGCCCCTTTCATCATTTAAAATGGTCAGGGATCATCCGGACTATTTGAGTCTCAAGTTACAGAAACAGAAGAGCTGGACTGATACTGATTTCCAAACACCTGTGTTGGAGAAGTCAGATTTCTACCCGCCATTTGTAACCTTGTTGGGGAAAGAAGGTGCAGGGGACCCTGAGACACAGGCAGTAACTCCTGCATAAGCTTCACGGCAGCTTCTCTGCTCAGCAGCTGGGGACAGAGCTGTGGAGAGCAGGGTCACAGCACTATCTGGGTGGCCCGGGACTGGGTTCTGCCACTTTGCAAGGTGAGGAGCAGGTATGGCTTTTGTACCCACAGCTGTCCAAGACCCTGAGTCTGCAAGCTCCCCACATGTATACATTGGGGTCTGTTACTGCGTCTTTAGGAAATTCAGAGGAGAAGGAGGCCACTGAGGCCAGGGAGCCATCCACAGCTCAGGGACGGGTGGAAAATGAGGTTGAGGATCCTTATGCAGTGGGGAGGGGAGAGGAGTTTCCCTGGAACAGCCAGGAGCCCTGGACATGTGCTTCTCTGGGGGGGTCCCGAGTCTGCAGCCGCCCATATCAGGGTCACTTTGGACCTTGGACCAGGCCAGGCTTTCTCTCCCTAATCGTGTTCTCAGTCCTCAGGCCTCCCCTGGCTGTGTGACTTCTGTCTAGACGCCCTGCCTAATGGTGGATTTCTCTGCGGTATAGCTGTCGGGCCCTGGGTGTCTGCCCTGAACTATGCTCCAGGCTGTGTGGGAAACTCTGGGGTGGTGTTTACCTCCTGGGCTAATTACAACTGCTCTGGTTTTAGGCGAGGAGCCCCTGACTCCTATCCCACTCTCTCCTGTGGGCTCCTGGGCACCTTCCACCATGCTCTCCTCTCTGAACCCCCTGAATTTCCCTTGCTGGTCTGGAGGGAACACATGAGAGGATCTGGAGGATAAGGATGGCCTAGAAGGGCAGAGTAACCCACAGGAGTCCCCAGTGGAACCTGTCCTTCCAAGAGTAGACAGTCAGTGGGCCCTAGTGGACCCCAATCCTCACAGGACAGATGGAGTCAATGGGAGTGAAGACCCATTATCCAAGGCCTGGAACCAAGGACTCTCCCTGGAGTTTCTCCTGGAGGGAAGGTGCATGCTGAAGGTGTAAAGTCTCCTTTTCCAGGAACTGCCCACGGGAGAATTAGCCCCTGGCTATAAAACAATCCATGGGCATTTGGAGCTAAGGTATTTTGTTGGAATAATCTGAGGAAGGGGGCAAAGGTCGGGCAGTACGATAGCACCCAGTCCTGCCTGCTCCAGAAGGGACTCCCCTGGGAGCCTTCCAGCCGGGCCAGCTTCCCGAAACAGTCCAAAGAGAATCACTACCAGTTCCCAGGACTCCAGGGTCTTCTTCGGAGTCTGGGCCCGGGTCAGCCTTGGCACGCACACACAGGCTCTGAAGGAGGAGTTTGGTGAAACTTAGCTCTGGGCTCTCTGATCTGGCCCTTAATCAGCCTCACACTTCATTTCTTCACAGACATGTTCAGCCCACCCCCACCCCCAGCTCTTGGCCAGTAAGACAGAGGTGGGATTTCCCTCCACACATGCCAAGCCCTTCACCATGCGCTCCTCAGGGGCCAGGGAGCGTTTAAAGTCGGGGTTCCCATCCACACATCTTCTCCCCGTTGTCTCTCCACTCCCTTTTGGCAGCGAGTTTTACCAGGAGCTGTGCACCTGAAGCAGGTGGGGGAGCTCAGTGTCTGATGTAGGAGGCGAGCCGACATCAGGGCTGGCCAAGGTTAGGGCTGGCCAAGGTCAGGGCCAGTCTCCTCAGCTCCTCCACCTGCCCTACGCTGGCAGGTGCTCTGAGTTTCTCTCAGAGAAGGGGCTTCCCTGGCTCTGTCCCTGCTGGGGAGCTAGGACAGGCCTGCTCCCAGAGCATGGTATCCATGGCTCTGAGTCTGACAGCTGGCACCTCTCTGGTGTTGGGTCTCAGACACCAAGTTTTGGGGTGCTGAATATTGGGATGCTGGATCTCAAGTACCAGGTATTAGGGTACCAGGCCTCAGGGACCATGTCTGGGATGCTAGGTATTGGGGGGGCATCTATGCGAGCCTGCTTCCCTGCCCTCAGCACTGGAGCCTAGAGTGTGTGATTTCCTGCCTGAGCCATGCTGGACACAGTGGGGTCTCTGCCCCCTGCACCCAGTAAAGTTTCAAGGTGGCTGGTTTCCTACTATGAGAGTCTGAGCTGTTTGAGGTTTGCTCACCTGGGGCAGGTCTTTGACCCCACCCATGCCTGTATCTTGCTCATATCTTGCCCCCACCCTCTGACCTGCAGCCCTTCTTCCTGACCTGACCTCATGCACTTGTTTCCAGCTCTTCTCTATCTCTTCATATCTTTGTCTTCTATCTCCTGTCTGTTCAGAGCTGGGGAGATAGCAGTGCTGGGAGTCCAGGTGCCTGCAGCACTCCTCCCCACCCAGCCCTATCTGCAGAGCCCATCAGATTGGGGGGGGGGGGTGCGGCTGAGCTCAGGGGGGCATGTGGGTGAGTTCATGGCAGCCTCCCATCCACCCTGCTGTAGCCCTGCTATGCAGTGGCTTTTCTTGGTTTCACCTGAAGCTCAGACTCCTACACACACACAACACACACACCTCCTTAGTCAGGCAGGTCACCAGGGCTTGGAGCCCCACCTACCCAGGATCTTTCTTGCCCCACCTCTTCTGAGCTCAGAACCCTCCAGCCTCCTACCCCCCAGCTCCTGAGGCTGCCCCACAACCAGGTCAGTGTTGCAAAGGCAGGGACTGTGTATTTCTCTTCCTGCTGTGTCCCCACAGTCGGAGGCCTGCCTGCCCCCAGCAGTGCTCCTGAAGAACTGCTTTGCAGGGGTGAGGGATGAATGAATGAGTGAGTGAACCAATGAATACACTGATGAATCTCAGCTTCTAACTTGTCTGTGAGCTTCCCACAAACCATCCAGGTGCTGGGTCTGGGAAGCAGCTCCTTAAGCTCTTTGGCTGAATTTCCCCCCCACCCCACCCCAAATTGCCATGTAGCCTCTGGTGAGCTGAGCGGCACACCCTATGACAACACCCTCCAGGCAGGCAGACCATTGACAAGTGGTGCCAGCATTAGCCAGAGCACTGTGGGCATGTTGGGGTTCAGGGTGGAGCACCATCACCCCAAACAGAGCTAGCCTGGGTGGGCCAGGTCCCCGGGAGGCGGCATGCTCACCTATGCATATCTAAAGTGCCCTCCACCACAAGCTGAAATCTTCTGTCCTGTTCGCCACCGTGCAACCTTCTGGAATAAGACAGAATGAATCTGCCAGGTCCTGACATGCTGGCCTCCAGACACACAGACACCTGCACAGGTTCTGGCTCATGCACCTTCCTGGAACACAGCCTGGAACTTGGGTCCCAGGCAGGTCAATACCCTCAGCACATTGATGACTTTTTTGGGTTTGAATGGTTTGCTTTATCAAAATATTCCAAAATGTTTGATTTTCTTTTTTTTTAGCAGCCATAGTTCTGGGCATTAGATGAGCTCTCACCAGTGTAATATTCATTTAACAAGTGTTAGTGCTGCCACGTGCCTGGCACTGCTGTAGGCCAGGAGGAGGCCACTTCAAACAAAATAGACCCAAACTTTGGAGGGTAGCATTTGTGCAGGGACAGACAGACGCAATCATGCCACAGGATAATGGTATTAAGTTCAATAGTGAACAAATGATGGGAGGAGTGAGCCCTTGGGTAAGGGGAAAAGCATTTTTAGAGTGGAGCAGCCAGTGCAAAGGTGCTGTGTGGGCATGTATCGGTATATCTGAGGAGCAGGTGGGAGAGCCACCAAGGGTGGGGTGGGAGGTGAGGTCAGAGGGGCCAGGGAAGTGGAGCCATGAGAGCTTCTGAACTGAGGCGAACTTGACCCCACTGGGAGGTAAAGCAAGCTGCTGCTAGTGCCAGGTCTGGGGCTTCTTATTGAGTGGTATGGAGCATGCTGACACCAGCTGCTGCTTGTTTGAGAGATTTTAGGAAAGTCTGAAGCCTGAGCCAGGACAAGCCATTCATATGGAAAAACCACTGCAAACACCTTGGGTGGGGCTGCAAATTGGGTGGGGTGGGTCTCAGGGAATCACCAGGGCAGAGCAAACGGTGTGAGCCAGGTTGATGGATACTCAGATATGGGGCTTGCCAGTCAGCTCTGTGATGGGGGAGGATGAGGGAACAATGACCCCTGTGAGCACCTCTGTCTGGGAGAAAGCTTCCCCTGAGTTCTTGCTCTGGTTCCAGACAATCCAGTTCCTCCCCATATGTCCCTGGATACCCGCAAGCTACAGCCCCAGCACTGGAGCTCAGAGGGAGTGAATCTGTGTGCTGCCCCTTTACAAGGAATTGCCTGGGACTCCAGCAGCCTCCCTGTTACTTAGCCACAACCCCCACTAGTTTTTATAGCCCTAAGTTATGGGGGCGTCTCTTCACAGCACTGGAAACCTGGGCTGAGGGGTGTGGTGTGGGGCTGGGATCCCTTGTTCCTCATGGGAAGCCTCTACAGCCGATATATCCCTCTTGATTAAAAAAATACCACACGTGTGCATTGGACCAGCCTGTTCTGCATCTCCACCCCTCCTAGCAGTTTCACAGTGCTTTCTTCTTTAATTTCTTAGTTGTAAGACTTCCATGCAACCAGATTTTAGGTGGTTCTGAATGATGGTTGTTCTGTATTTTTGTTGTAATTTTGTTGTGAGAGGTGGCGAGTATCAGCGTTTACCTACACTGCCATCTTGGTTCTTCTCTGTTGGCCATTTTTTGCCCCAGGGTGATTTGTAAAAGGGAAAAGCCCTCTGATTTCATAAGATTCTTCCCAGTAACATGTTCAGGATAAACACGTCAGAAAACCAGTGCATATGTTCACTAGGGTCTGATTCGAGATGCAAGCTCTGCCCCCCAGGAGCTCTGACGGCCTTGGTGAGAAAGGGCCTCCAAGAGCTGAAGAGCCCACCAGGCTGTTGTTCTGGCCTCTGTACCTCCAGCATCCCAGGAGGGTGCATGCCTGGGAGGTAAGGAGGGCGGATGGTGCCTGACTGTGGACTTGAACCACATGCAGGGGTGGCGATGACCACTGACAGCACCAGGGCTGTGGGTTCTTATGGCAAAGCCCTGGGCAGCACCTGAGCGGGGTGAGCACTGACATGGATATTCTTGAGGTCATGCAAGGTGCCTTGACTGGGCCTGGAGTCCTTCCTTGGAGCCGGCTGTGTCCCAAGTCCACATCTATAAACCAAGTGTTCATTCAGGTCTAGAAAGAGGTCAAATCCCCATGGTTTACTGGGTGAGGGGTCAGAGTCCAGCCAGAGGGGTCAGATGGTGGCCAGATACAGGCTTCCCGTTTGGGGACATCAAAATGGGCCTCAGAGGAAGAGAGGTGGCCGGGCTGAGCGAGAGAGGCTGGGGGGAGAATACTCAGGCAGAGGCACCAGCCCAGGGGGCTCCAGTGGGTGGGGGCCAGGGCCATTTGGGCTACAGTGGTGGATGGTTAAGTCCTGAAGGTGGAGAAGGGGGATGGGGCATGGTTGAGTCAAGT